AGACCATATGTGGGGATCGGTAGTCATCTCAGCTATTCAACCCAAAAACCTGGGTCTGTCCCGTGGCCTCCTGCCAGCGAGCGTTCTACATTTCACGCGGTATCAAAGTGCACTTCGCCTGGCACAAGCGCTTTGATGAGGTCACCGCCACTTAGTTGCCAATGGTGAATGTTGTTGTTGGAGCGGTGGTGTAGTTATTCTTTGGGTCTTTCGGTAAAGTCACGTGGATAGGTTCAAATAAAATAACAAGAAATAACAAAAAACTACGACATTAAGATCGCAACATCAGGCTAAGGGAGGTGTAGTTGTTTCGCGTTCTGCGCTACGAACTCAACTACCCGAGTTCGATTCCAGCTCACGGCCAACACCAGTGATGATAATCAGAACCAGTACTGGGGCTTCCCTCGGTAAACTGAGCCTTAAATGAGTACCGAGTGTGATGTGTAAACATCCCCTTGATAGGTGCTCACTAACAGTACTGGCCTCAACAGTCTGTTAAGGCTATAGAGGAATATTATATGTGGATAACTTCCTTGACAACGGGCACACGTTTTGAGTGCGTCTTACTTTCCGAAGCATCTTTACAATCCGAAGTATTCGGTACTCCAACGCATCCATAATGTATACTCTACCATTCTGGTATAACCTAGCTATTTAAAAAAAAAATCTCCCACTTGCACAAAGTAATCTAGTGCAACACACACGTAACATATACAAGTAGAAAATAAATTGCACGTAGATTGACACGCACAACACACCCATCCCGATAGCCTCAGATCTACCCCGCCTTCTATAAGCGAGACACGCAGAGGCGAGATAACGCGATTTGGAGGCGGGGGGGGGGGGGACACAAGGCCGTGAGTCTATTCTGAATCGTAAATCGCTTAAATAGTAATTTATTTATTTAAAAAGCCAAGCCCGACTTTGTGCGGCATGATAATTGGCTGATACACAAATAATTGGCTGATGCTGTCGGCGTATAGGGGCAACCCAGAAGGCTCTAATCTCAAGCTGCCGTGCGCTCAGTTCTCATTTCACGGATACCCGTTTACACGGCACTCACCCACGCCCCCCACACTTTTTTTCTGCGAGCCACAGGCCCCCTCCTATTCCGCTTCGGTCACTCGCTCGACCCACGAATCAACACTGCCCCCCCCCCCCACCGCCACCACCACCTCCCCACCGTTTCTTTCCACCAGCTTCGGTCAACCTCCCCCCACCACCACCAACCCCAACCGCCCGCTGGTCCGGGTCCCATCTGCTAAGTGATCATCAGCGCAACTTTATTGCCCTTCAATTAAAATATCGACGAGACGTAGAGATTAGTATTATTTAGTAAGCTAAAGGCGCGACCCTGCAGTCGCTTTCTCACATCCCGCTGGCGGGCGGATGGGGCCTCCACTGGAGCGCCTCTTCTCAAGAGTACATTGGCCTACTCTTCCAAGATGTCTTGGGAGAGGTGGAAGCATTAGCCACCGTTATCCCACCGACACGCGACCTGGTGGTTGTGCCGTAGTCACACTGTTGCGTGTGTGGTTCTCTCGGTAAAGTCACGTAGAAGGGAAATAATACAATAATAATAATAAACATAATAAAATAATTCTCACGAACTTTCGGCCACAACGCAAGCAGCCGTCCTCAGGTGAAGAACAGGTCTGTCGGAAAGACAGAGTCTGAATGGGCCCGAAACGTCGTGAGAATTATTTTATTATGTTTAATTTTTATTATTTTTTTTATTTCCCTTCTACGTGACTTTACCGAATGAACCAAGAAGATGAATCCCTGCAGTCACGAAAGCTTTAAATCGAAAAATATTGTTCGTCTTGATCTGAAGCTTTCGTGACTGCAGGAATCCATACTCTTTGGTTCTTTTGTTAATGTCACGTAAGTATCAAATAAAATATATCACGACGTTTCACGACGTTTCGGGCGCAACACGAGCGCCCGAACCGTCGTGATTTATTTTATTTTCTACCGGTGCCGGTAGAATGAACTGGCGACTTCTGGATTGCAAGTCCTGCGTTGCTGACCATGATCGCGCCGTACTGGGAGAATTCCCAGTGTGTGGTCTCCCCGACGCCTTCGAACTAAACTTGAAGTATTACACCTGACACCGTGACATCGAAGCGCGCGCCCCCCACCCCCTGCCCCCCAAAACGTGGGGCCCGGGGCAGTCGCCCCTATTCACCGTACTTTAGGGATGGCTCTGTTCGCAGACTCCTGTCATCCCAACACCACCTACCGCGGGTCGGCACATCGATCACGAGAATCACGATTTAATTTCGTTCAGTTATACAAAGAAAAAAACGTCAACGCGCATATGCTCGGCACGCATGATGATTGCTAAACGCGTACGGTGAGGAGCGAGGAGAGCGCCGATTGAAGTTCAGATCGAGATCTTTCGCGTCTCGAGAGCAGATGTCGGGGGCGTGCAGGTCAGTGCGCTGCGCTGCCTGGTACGAACGACGTTCACGAACCGCGGACTTTTAAAAAAATTAAAATAAATTTCTTCAGACCTGCTTTTTTGTGCTCAGTTTTTGTTCTTGTGCTCAACCTAGTCGTGGGATTCTCCTAGGTTGACTCAGCCTTAAATACGTATCTATTTTGTTAATCTCCGGCTACGGCGAACAGTGCCATGTGATGCGTGAACCGGTCCTGCAGGGCCACGCTAGCCCTACCCCCCTTTCATCATCTCCCTCTGACCAACGGGGTGAAGTATGGTCAAAATAATCCCTATGACCGACACGGCGTGGTGAAGCCTTCATCTGGCAATTAATTGATAATAAAGGCTGTAAATAAGGATTAATGAGTTTTGACTGTAATTCACTTGTGCACATACTGTATACACTCTTCGCTTCTGGATATGCGTAATACATGGGACTGGACCTGCGACAATTGCCATATTTGTCAGACTGCAAGATGCTTTACGCACCCCATATGTGCCCGGTGTTAATACTATTATACAAATTCAGTCTCTCTCACACACTCACACACCAGGGGGTAAACGAGAAGCACTTTTGCTTATGAAGCGACAGGGGCAAGCGCGTCTTGTCATCCAGAGAATACGGCGCAAACGCCAAAGCTGGCGTGCGCTCACGCGTGAACGCATTTATTTATTACCGCAGGCAATTGTCGTGCAATTGCAATTACTTTGCCCCGATAGATTGGCACGTCTTTATGAGGCTCATCACCATTAGTCATCGTGATTGATGAGTCGTGGTCGTGTCGCACGCCGCGCGTGCAACCACGTGAACGGGCGTGCGTGCGGCTCAACCTTGCTCATCTCCTCTTCTTGGTTCTTTCGGTGAAGTCACGTAGAAGGGAAATAATAAAATAATAGTATATTGCATTTTTATTATTTCATTATTTCTCTTCTACGTGACTTTACCGAAAGAACCAAGAAGATGAATCACTGCAGTCACGAAAGCTTTAAATCGAAAAATACTTGTTATCTCGCGACGTTTATTCCACGCGGTTAGCATTGAGGGGACAAAGAAATGCGGATAACTGTAAGAAAGAGGAGGAGGAGGAAAAATAAGATGATCATCGGCCACCAATGATGTTATTAAAAAACTAAAAATATATCAAGTGGAATTGACCGTGGCAACATCTGATGCGAGTTGACGATGATGATGATGGTGATTCGCCGTATCCTAGGGAGGACTCTGACCACAGAACTCCGGTCCATGCAACACCACCGTTGGAGGCACGCCTTCACGAGAATACCGATTTAATTTCGTTGAGGTATAAAAATAAAGTCGATACACACACACTCGACGCGCCCCACGGTGATGATGATGAACAAAGTTGACTAACGGAGTGGAGACCGCGAGACAGCAAGAGAGGAAGACAGAGGAAGGAGAGGGCAGGAGCGAGACGAGATCACAGAGTTTGGAGGCCACGACTGGGACAGGACATTACGGAAAGGAAGGAATGGAGGGAAATGCGGGGAGGCATTTGCACAGGAGCGGGAAGTTACAAGTTGAAAACAATAACATACGTAAGAATGACACAGTCATGCGTCGATTATCCTTTAAAAAAAAGTTTCGCAAAATATGAATCTGCTACAGTTCAAGCAGAGCTGCGCTGTAATGACTTAATTGCGCACACGTGGGCGCTTTTGAGTCTGGCGAGATGGGTTCGATCCCCGGTCACGGCTAACATCGGGGGCCGTGTGATTCTGAACCGCAGCGGAGTGACGCCCTTCGCGAACATAGATTGCCCAGCTTGGGTTGCAGAGAGTAACGATCGATCAAACAACCCCCAACTTCCGACACAGCGTGGGAAGACCTTCGTTCCGTAATGGACTTTACAAAAGGCGGCAGTGCTTTTTGTCGTTAGTCATTATATATTGTACACGCCAAATGCATCAACAGCGCAATAAATAACTCTGTCGCACGGCTACAAGCTTGGCGGGAAGAGTTCGCTTTGCGATGAGCAAGCGAACGAGCGAACGGGGAAGTAACGTCTGCGACTTGGGTTCCAGCAGCACGGCCTTACGCCTGCCCCCGCTTTGCGAGCCCACTGAAAACATGCGTATGTAGCGACATCGAAATCAACACAGATTACTCTTCAATAAATCCTTAGCTCGCTCTCTCTCTCTCCCACCCCGCGTGCGCGCGCGCACGCGCGCCACCCACCTACCCACCTCCTCCCCAAACTCCCTTCTCACCCCCCTCCTCTCAAAAAAAAATCTTAGGCATATAACTTTCAAAAAAAAACTTAGGACGACGTGTGGAGTTTCCCTTTCACTGCACGGGCAGCATCCCCATCACTGAATTCATTGGTCCGTAAAAAAAAAGAGGACGGGAGGGAGAGAGAGAAAAAAATCCTTCGTCCCTCCTTGGGGGCTGACGGACACCTTTGTTATTCAAAGCAGCCGCTCTCTTGTGGGGGACGGGATGGGGGGGACGACAAAGCAAAATTCACCCACGTGAATCGATTTCAGCCAATGGGGAGCATAAAAAAAAATAACTCCCTCGTTTAAGGCGCACGGCTCGTAAAAAGTGCATTGTACGAAAGCACGCGCACGTAAAGCCACGCAAGGTGGCCCGAGCCCTATAAAGAGCAAAAAAAAGCCACCCAAAGTGATTTGTAAACACGGCGCAGAGCTCTCTGCTGCGGTCACCAATTGGCTCACTCCTGTCCTCCGTGTTTGTGTTGCGCAAAAAGCCAGACACAGCCTGGGGACAGCACCTTCACACCCATGATGTTCCCGAGTGCCCTGGCCAACGTAGCGCTCTACCACCACCACCACCAGCAGCAGCATCACCAGCAGCAGCAGCAGCAGCAACAGCAGCAGCAGCACCTGCTCCACGCAGTGTACCGGCCCACGCCGACACTGGGATTCCCCGTGTCGGCTGGCAACTCCAGCTCGTCTCAACAGCAGCAGCAGCAGCATCATCATCAGCAACCGCAACAACAACATCATCATCAGCATCAGGCAGCACCGGGCATTCATCAACCATCGCGCACGCTTGGGGCAAGCTTTCTCATAGACGAGCTGCTCAGGATAAACCGGGGTCCCCCTGGGGGCTACGGGCACGGGCGACAAGGTCCCGCGCCTCCTCCAAACGCGTCCCCTCCGGCGGGGCTGCTACCCCCGGAGCCGCTGTGCTCGGCGGCTGGGGCGTGCATGCCCGTGACCACAGCGAGCGACGCTGCTACCGCGCTCAAGTTCGGCATGAGGGCCATCCTGTCGTCTCCGCCAAAGTCAGGTGAGATGGGGGTCTCTCTTTTTTTGGCGTTTGCCGGTGCGGCTTATCTGGTGCGTGTCAATGTGCGTGTGAGTGTGGTGCTGGTCACCCAGCCCCGTCGTTCATAGGTGCTCGCCAATAGCACTTGCCCCAACAGTCTGTTAAGGCTATAGGGCAATCTTTGCCTTTGTGTGTGGATGTGGTTACGCAATGGTTGTGTCTGGTTGTGCGCGCGCGCATGCGTGTGTGTATGTTTGCATTTTGTGTATTTGTGTGTGTGTTGGTGTGTATGTGTTCTTGTGGGGTTTGCGTGGGTCAGCGCGTTTGTGTGGGGTTGTGTATGGGTACTTGTGCGTGTGTATCTGCGTGCGTTCGCGTGCGCGGGTGTAAGTCTGTTCGCTCGGAAAACAAGATAACGTCTCGCTTACGCCGTTCTTAACTCAGTTTACAGCAGCGTGTACAGCGCACGGGCAATTTCCACAGCGAAATAAAGTTCATGGTTATTGCAGCGATGCATTGCAGAATTTAGACAGCGATGATGCTGATATTGTCGGCGTGTCTGTGCGTAAATGTTATATTGTTTGTTCTAATGACTGCCCATCCTGTCGTGCGCGTTTTTTTAAACCCTGTCCCATAACTTCGCACGTGTGTTTGTGTGTGTGTGTGGGTTGCAAGTTTAACCGATGCTTTGCACGGGTGGAAATTAACCGCTCACGAATACCATTTCCGCAACGTGGCACAACAACAGCAGCATCCACGTCTCTAAATTGCCTACATTGGATGCGCTGCAGTGTTGCCGTTGAAATTGATGACGTTAATTAACTCGAAGTTAATGAATCACGCGCTCGCTTTTCATTTTGCAGATCCCTCGACGCACTTCATGCAAGAGTACTCCACCAAGGCACTTCCCTACTCATACTTCGACGGTCACTTTCAACAGTTCATTCGGTCGGCGTATTACCCAGGTATGAGCACCAGGGCAATTGCCCGAAACGTCGCCTAGTCTAATCTAATTTAGTTTTCCCCTTTAATGCCACAGTTGTCATGAACGAATGTGTTGAGTTTTTTTTATGGTGACCCAGCTAAGGGTCAGACACCTATTTAAGGGAAAAAAATCGAAATAAAGATGGTGACAAAATCATGGCAATGCCGTGTTAGGCAAAAGTAAACATTTGCGGTCGCTTTGTGAAGATCTTCATCCAGCAGTGAATGGACCATTACTGATGAGGACAATGTAATGGTAGTGTGGCTTTTGCATGTAATAATACGGTGCAGTAGTAGTACACTACTTATCATGCCTTCAAATTATCCAGGGAAAGTGTCGCTGATTGTTTTGGAGGGGTCCTGCATCGGGATGCTCGGCAAATTCATTTTAGAAGGAGTATTTTTTTTTAGGTTTAATTCCTAATATCATATCATCATGCTGTCTGCGGTGAAGAAGGCTCATTGCCTGAAACGTCGATATTGGCTTATGTGTCTTTTCAGTTCTGCCTGCGCACCCATTGAAACACGCAGTTGCCACATTTGATCAATCATTGTAAACCACGTCTCGGTTCGGAAATAAGTTACATTTAAAGTTCTGGCACCCAAACCACGCGTGCACATCTGCACGCAAACGCCAAAGGAGTATAGACGCAAACACAAACTAACATCAACCAACCATCATCACCAGCCATGATCAATCCACTGCTGGATGAAGGCCCCCGCATGCCACGTTGGTGTTGTTTGTTTGTTTGTTTTAATCACACTTTAATCGGCGCGGATTGAAGGTGAGGGAGCGGGTGCGGGGCTGGTCCGGTTCCAATATCACTCGCAACCTGATGTCAGCCGTGGCCGAGAATTGAACTTGGGTGGCGCAGGGGTTCACAGCCACTGCTGCCACGGCTCCACCAAAGATCCCCGTGCAGCACTTGAACAGACTGCTAGGGGAAGCGTTTTTAGCGAGCACCTCGCGACAGGGTGACTGTCCAACACCACTCCCGGTCGTTTTGGTTTCCCCAAACCAGGTGCTAATTTGAGGCTGAGTTGACCTAAGGGAGGCCCAGAATAGGTTCAGTTAATCGTCACTGGGGTTCACCGTGAGTAGGACTCAAACTACTGGATGTCTGTGCAAAAAAAAATAGCTTCGTAGCTCATCGGATTCCTCCAGTATAAATGAAGATTCTCATTTTAATTGTGAACTCGGGTGGCCGGAAGCGTAGCACGCTTAACCGCTCATGCCACCCGCTCCACCTTTCGCTAACAAGCCAAACGCGACCCGCAAGGTCCTTTGGAGTGGCCGACACGCACCCTGTTTACTCGCGGTTGGGTGGAACGGGCTCTTGAAAAAGCGGTTTGGGTTTTTTTTATTTGGTGGGGGGTATGGTAGGTGTTCACGCCGCACGATTTCTTCTCGTGTCGCGCTCGCAGCTAGCCTCTCTCCCTCCCTCCCCGCGTGTCGCCAAGGCTGCTGCCCGCAGCGAAATATCCCACACGGGAAGCTCCTTCACTCCCTCCCGGTTCACATCGCGACGTTAACGTCCAATCCCCCATCAACTGCCCCTCGTCCCTCTCATCCAACAGCCCTCACAGAGTAAGGCAGATAGACTTGCCCGGTCAGCCTCCCGTGTGTCGGATATATATGTGTGTATACTGTATACAGTATATAAAACTAAACTCGTATTTTTTATATTTTACCAGGTAAGGCCCACTTAGCTATATAGCTCTTTTTTTTTCAGAAGCGACCTGGCCACACATGCCAGCTCAACGAAGGTGCTTATCACGTGGCAATGTATAGCGGCCAAATAGTCAAAACCAAAGAATACACACACATACAAGGCGATCTGGTTGGAGATACACCCATAAAATAATATGGATACACTTTAGAACAATCTTTTTAATTTAAGCAAATTCTACGCGTCTGCCATCAATCTCAACACATTATTTTTCAACGACGTAAAGCACTGCTTTGTAACATACGGAGCCATCGCTTCCACACACTTCGTAGACCTCGTGAGATGAAAAAAACTGTGAACATCAGTGGGGTATCTACAGATGGATCAACCTACATATTCCGTACACATGGCAATTGCGGTTACGCCTTTTTCCTTCGGCACTGTGTAGCGTACAACTCAAAGCCCTTTGCGTGTTACGAAGGTAGCAGTGCGTTGACAAATGTGGAACATCGAAAACTGCCCTTGAAACTGCATTTAGTGCACGAAGAATCTCCCAGCACATGGAGCGAAACGTCGGACATCGTGACGGACAGCACGCGGCACAGCCCGCAAATCACATCGGAGAGCCGAACAGCAGCACAACTGCGAACAGCTCCTCGGTGCTTGTGATGCGCTGTTCAGCGTCTCCAAATCTACGGAACGCAAAGAGAAATGCAATAAAATTACCAGCGTTTTTTTAAAATTCCGTATACTGTCAATTTAAATAACCCAACATTTTCATTCAGCGGCCTCTTAGCTCGATGGATGGAACAATGCGGTTTAAGTTTTTTTTCAGCAGGTGAATTCCACACAATGTCCGACGTTTAACAACTATCCATAAGCACAACAGAGATCGGGCACAACCGCGATGACCTAAGCTGTGATGGTAGTTTCGTTCAGAGCCTGTTTCTAAACAAACTCTGCCGGATGAACGTGAATAGCTCAACGACAACAGCCACAGTTACCTGCCGCATCAAATGTACACTGTCGATTCACCACTTCAACATTGCGCAACACACACACACAGAGACGGGTGAATTCACCGCCTGTGATTTACGTCTGCACGAGGTCCCTGTCGTTTTAACGGCGTGTGTATCCCTTCCCGTGTGTCCGTGGTGTTTGCGCGCAGCCCTTAGTAGTTTCAATTCAGGGCATCAGGGCAGGCTTAGGTAATGCGTAGCGACGCGAGGTTTTCGGCATAGCCCCCGCCACCCCACAAGTCAACGTGCAGGGTTCCCCAAGTCCCTGACACGGGGGCTTAGTGCCAAATAATCCGACTAGGAAAATCCAGAAAACGCGATTAAATGTTTCTTTTTTTTTCTTTCTCCTCCTTCTTCTTCTTCTTGAGCGGAACAGACCCGGTCCTTAACCTGCTCCCCCCCCCTGCTGCTTAGAATGAGCAGGTGTGAATGATTATGGTCTATTTAGTTTTTACTTAGTGAGTAATATAACACCCATTGCATTGCTGGTGTGTTAAGGACGTGTACTTATGTCGGGGTTTTCATGCTGCTGCCGGTGTGGTGGCAGGTTGTGAAACGTGCGGGGATTTTAATAAAACGAGTTTTCAAGTGAAATGTGGATTTACCACGTAGGCTTTCGCGACCAATATCATCCATAAATAGGGGTTTGTTGGGTTAGATCGCGTAAATATATAAATGTGTCGTTAAACCCGCTACCACCCGACACAGCCAACTTAGCAAGGGTTGCCACGTAAACAGAACATGAAGCTAGTTGTAATTACTGGCGAAACGTCGTACTCAGATTGTAAATGTTGTGGCTTGGCTCTCCAACACACCGGTGTGCTGTACTAGTGACGAACTAGTTGGCTGTGTCGGGTGGTGGCGGGTTTAACGACACATTTATGTATTTATGAGATCTAACCCCAAACAAACCTCTATTGTGGATGAAATGTGGATGTACCACGGGTATGGAACCGCATTGCTTCTGCATCACATTTATAAATAATTTAATCTTCTTTAGCTCAGTTTCAACAAATTTGTAGATTTTTTTTCTCTGGTGTACGAGTGCTTACAAAACTCATTTGAAGATATTTGTACGGATAATATATTTTTAATTGAAAATTACTGATATTAATATTCGTCGATAACACTGCCCTAATAAGGGAAAATGGATATGTTTATATTAGGCAACGTTTTGGCCACTGGCCGTCGTAACAGAAATTGCATAATTTTTGCTCTATTATAATATTTGTTGTGTTATCTTGATGTAATAACAATCGTTTTTTTTTATCTCGAATGAACTCTCACTTGGTTATAAATAAAAGACGGTGACTTGAGGTGAGGACACATCAATGTAATGGGAGTCACTGACACGTATGACAGTCATAGGGCACAAAGGGCAGAAACAGGAATATGTATCATCATTACCAGCCATGGCCACCTAAAATGAAATGTCAATGGAATTGGGAAACAAATAAACTCCACTGATTGCTGTCTTTAAAATGTAAATCGATAACTGCTCAAAATAAATCACGTTAAATTCATCATCTTGTAGGTGTAATGCACGATTATGACTATTTACACATTTTTAAAGCTGTGAGATAATTTTTGAGAAACATGCGTGTCAATATTGCACGGGCAATGCTTGCCAAATTTTTGTACAAGTTTATTGAAATTGCGGATATAATCACCACTGATATTTGCCTATTCGTGATGAAGAAACGGTTAAATGAAGTCTGCCCCTCTAAACATCGATAATGCCAAAGCTAATTGCTGTTTAATCGATAAAAGCTGTCGATGCATATACGAATGCTATTTATTAAATATTATAGGCAAGACCCAATTGAAGTTACCTATGGCATTTTGAAGAACATTCGTCCTCTTTTAACTTAAAATTTTGGATTTTCAAATCCACACTAAAGTAACATATAACGCGACAAGCTCTTGAAGCAAAGAGACATAACAGCGCAAACAAGATTGAATGTCAAGGCCTTTACCCATCTCCCACCAGTCTCAATACAACTCAGTACATCCTTTCACACCCTCCTCTACAACACACGAAGCCATTGCTGTCGGCTACAGTGCGGTGTGCTAACCTGACCCTCCTTATATTATGCAAACACACTCGAGGGCAGTTTTACTCCGCACGTTTTAAAAGTGATTTGACCCAGCCAACTTATGCTGCAAGAAATATTCGATCTCACTTTGATATGTTTATTGTTGCAGCAGCATTTATGTGTCTATCGCCCCTGTAGCGCGGTCGTTCCACTCCGATTTTGTTTAATTTTCCTTGCTGTGTTTTGTTTGTATTCCTTCCCGTGATTTTGATGAGCCGGGTCTGTATGTATGTACGTAGCACTTTTTTCTCACCGTACGTAGCCGACCGTGCTAATCGGAGATGCGGCGGTGATGGGGGTAGGGGACAACAAACTAAACACAAAAAGTAGTTCTAAAATAAATAGGTTTTCAAACTCTTACAAATAAGACTCGTCCACCGTCTCTCGAGTTCTCACCTCGGTCCGACATCATCAACTACAATTTCAGACGATTTTCTATTTACCAAGTAAGGCTCACTGAGCTATATAACTATTTTTCAAAAGTGACCTGGCCACAAATGATCGCTCACTGAAGAGACTCATCATGTGGAAATGCATAGCAGCCAAATACTCGAAACGCGTGATTCTAAATGTGGAGGGGAAAACCGGAGGACCTGGGGTAAAAATCCACACGACGACGGGGAGAGAGACACTGCCAAACTGCAAATATATACAGCAGACCTCCTGTATGCCTGGTGAGGTAGTTAACATCTCGCCACCGTGGCACCCTAAACTAAACCAAACTAAACTAAACCAAAGTGTGAGTGACTTCGCTAACGCATCCACCAAATATACACAGCAGGCGTCAGAGTCGGGATCGCCTCTGACGCCTACCGACCTCCTGTATGCCTGGCGAGGTAGTTAACATCTCGCCACCGTGGCACCCCAAAACTAAACTAAACCGTGAGTGACTTCGCTAACGCATCCACCGTCGTCATCCCTCCCCCCTCTCACCACCTCCCCCCTGTGTAGCCTCGGCCGTCATCCCCATGCCCGGTTCGTTCTCGTGGGCCCTGGCGGCCCGCGGCAAGCCGCGCCGGGGCATGCTGCGCCGCGCCGTCTTCTCGGACGTGCAGCGCAAGGCCCTGGAGAAGATGTTCCAGAAGCAGAAGTACATCAGCAAGCCGGACCGACGCAAGCTCGCCACGAAGCTCGGCCTCAAAGACTCGCAGGTGAGCCGCTGCTGCCGTACATCGACGAGTTGACTTATAATTGACGCCGTTGTTTTGTTCACGTTCCGTGACTTTTATTAACATTTTATCTATCTTAAAAAATATAAAAATAGAAGTAATAGAAGTAGTAATAGAAATAAAATAATAAATCATGACGTTTCGGAGGCAACACAAGTCTCCGTCATCAGGTGGGACCGTCACAGATAAAATTACTGCATCAAGAGACAACATTTACAAAACATTTTTTGTAAATGTTGTGGTTTCACGCTTCAACACACCGGTGGGCTAAAGCAGTGAACTATTCGTCTTTTGTCAACGTGACACTTTTTTACTGATTGGCCGTGTCGGGTGGTGGAGGGTTACGACACATTTATAAATAACGCGATCTAACCCAAAAACGTTGATTATGAATAAAATATTGATGCTTATTTTCCCATTTAATTTATTTCTCAGAACCTTGTTTTGGGGTCAGGCAAAAGGGGGTTACTCAGTTGAAACTAGAATGCAACAAGTAGCCAAAAGAGGGTTGAAAGCCACCGCTGTCTGTGGACACTGCCGTGCGGAGTGAGGGTGAGCGCGCTGGGGGCTTGCGATGCGGAGGCACCTTCCGATTGAGCGTGGTTGGCTGCGTACGGTGCGAACGCAGTGAAACAGCGAGGTGTTTATGATGGACGCCTGCGTTCCTCCACTCTGTTCACCAGCAATTTAGGACAGGGGTATAGGGACATGTCGCCCATTGCCGTATAATCCATTTCATAGCAGACCAAACGAATATTGTTTATGGGTTAAACATTTTCAATTTCAACCTTTTATTTAAATAGGGCCACAAATGAATAATAGAAACAAAACCAAAAATTTCGATTTAAAGCTTTCGTGACTGCAGGAATTCATCTTATTGGTTCTTTCGGTAAAGTCACGTAGAAGGGAAGTAATAATAATTATAATTTATTATGTTTTATTTTTATTATTTTATTACTTCCCTTCTACGTGACTTTACCGATAAAACCAAGAAGAAAAAAACCCAAAATCCCACGTATTTTCTCGAGTAAACATCAACAACATACACATTTCCGGGGGAGCGGGTGGTAATCACCGTCCCCCATCCCTCCCCCTCACTGGTATCCACCGCTTGGTGCCAGCTCGTCACCCACAAACCGCCCGACGAACTCCGCTTCGTTCGCAAACCATGACCCTTGCGTCGCTCGTCTCCGCACCGCCCGCGCGCGCAGGTCAAGATCTGGTTCCAAAACCGGCGCATGAAGTGGCGCAACTCCAAGGAGCGGGAGTTGCTCTCTGCCGGCGGCTGCCGGGAGCAGACGCTGCCCACCAAGGGCAACCCGCACCCGGACCTGAGCGACGTGCAAGGCCGTCGCGGGGCCGTTTCTCCCGGTGGCACGGCCACCGTCGCCATGGCGGCGGATGAAATGGGACGACGGTCTCCGTCGACGCCGCTCAGCAGCAGCAGCGGCAGCGGCCGCAGCAGCGGCGGTGGCGGGAGCTTCCGCTACGAGGAGTTTCACGAGGAGCGGCATCTCACGGCGTCGTTCGACGACTCGGAGGAGGACGACGTCGAAATTTCCGTGCTGTAAATTCGGGGACGGTTGGAGGTGGTGATGGTGGTGGGGAGGGTGGGGAGGGGGGGGATGCTGTCGTGTCTGCTCTGGTCGGCACTCTGGACTTGCCATGCCGGGGGGGTCCCTGGCTACAATTCAAACTCCCTGGTGTAGAAATTCACACTCGCTGGTGCTGCAATTCAAACTCCGTGGCCCACCTCCTCCCCCCCCCTACCCTCTGCCTGAGTCCACCCAACGTCTCTGAAAGAGAGCTTTATAGTTCATCGGATTCCTCTAGGATAAATCAAGATCATGATTGCGAACTGTATCAATGGGTCCACCTCAGATTGTCAATCAGCAGCTTGCGTGTGGGGTAGATTGCGAGCACTCCCGGCTTTTCCAAGGCATCTGGCGAGTGTGGAAGAGTAGGCCAAAAGTGCCCTCTTAGTTGAGACACTTCTCCCAGCGGTGGCTTCAGCAACAACTTGCAGGGCCGCACCTTTGACCTTCGCTTACACGTTGACGATCGCCTCCTGTGCTTGACACGACCGCGTGGCACTGCCGGGGTCGAAGCGCTTCCTGCGAGGTCGCGACGTCTGGAGGAGTGGGGGGGGTGTCAGCGCGTTATCCCACCACGCGTTGTTGATAAAAAATAATGTGCCCCTACCGCCCCCCTTTTTCTTATTCTTCTTCCACGCGTTCGTCCCACTCACGTGGGCTCTCTCTCTCCTTGTCAACCTTCTCCACGCTGCCCTCGTCCTGCGCTGTCTTTCTTTTCGCTTATCGGCCCACCACCGTCTGATCGCACCACATCGCCCCCCCACCTCTCCTTCTGCCTTACCTCTTCATCGCTTTCTTTCCACTCGCAGAGACGCGAGACATTCGCCTCGGGCTCAGGGCCACCAAGGGCGATGAACGCCACGTGACGGCCCTTCGAGCAGGGATACACGCTCACTGGACTCTTCTTTTTTTTTCTCGCATCGCGCACGCGTGTGCACGTACGTTGAACTTCTTTCGTACCGCACGCGGCCAAGCGTGCGAATCGGAGGTGCGGTGCGTGTGATGCGAAGGGTTGAGACGTGACTTATTGAGGGAGCGGGTGCGTTGTTGTTGAGTGTACATTTTGCAGAATACCATGTGCCTGAAACTTTATCGCTTGTACATACGTTCAACACTTGCCTTCATGCCGGTGTTGTGTGCTTTGTTTTGTATAGGAAGGGGAAATGAGGTGCTTTTTATATTCCTTTTACTCTGTAGAGCTCTTACGCCTAGTATTTATCATGCGAATCCGATATTTTTGAACGAGATGTTATTTTTCACGTAGAAATAAAGTTATTAAAGTAAGTATTGAGAAACGTGGATTGCACATATTTTTAATATTGTACATTTTTTCGGAAGAGAATACGGTTTAAAAATTTCAGAAACTTTAGTATCCTTGTGTATTGGTATTTCTAAAATGTTTTAATAAACTACTGCTGATTTATGAACACGTGATTGCATTCAAGATTGCTTCTTTGGCCGTGCACTTGATATAAATAAAACACATTGAAATCTTTGTTTTCTTCACATGAACAAGAAACAATTGCGGGTAAGTTTTTATTTAAATCGCCCCCCTCCCCTCACCTGTACTCACCCAGCAGTATGCATTAGTACGTAACAGAGTAAGTAGGTCCATCAGCAGGGCACGTGTGGGCATACCAATTGGTTCGGAAAAACATTGAAGGAACCGGGAAGAGAGGAAGACCCAACGGAGAATGGCTTCACGAAGAACATCGTAAGTGATCGGTGCCAGAAAGATGTGGCCGCTACTTGAGAATATTGGGCACAAGACAGAGGAATGTGGAAACAAATGACGAAATGTGCAGTGGATACTTACGGGCCATCTGCTCATGGATCGTGATGATGATGATGATGACATCTTTACCATTTTCCAATGATGCCAAAGTCTATAGATGATAATAAGTATAACCCGTAAAAACAAAGTTTTTCACTCTAAATCATTTATATCCTCTCGTCCTCTGGCTTGAGATGGCTGCCACCTATGGGTCAGATGATTGTCTGCAGTATTAAACAATTGGTAATTAAATATTTAATTTGTTTTCCCTAAACAGTGTAAAATTTTGGAATTTTTTTTCACGAACATTAATTGTCTCGCACAACGAGTCTGTGTGCAAAATGTCAGCTCGATTGGATCACGGGAAGTGGGTTAAAAAACGACCGACAGGTTTGCACGGTCGTAAGCAAGCAAGCAAGCACGCAAGCGAACTTAATATAAAGGAGTTAAAAAGGGCATTTGCGAGTGGTAGGCAGAGGCCAAAGAATGGTCTTCTTTCTGCATAGTCTTTGTCTCTAATAATTATAATGACAATTTCTTCAGCAGGAAAGTATCTCAGAGTCTCAGGAATATGTTTTGAGGTCGATTCTGCATTAGCAAGTTTAGCCAGAGTACCCAGATAATGTATGTGTGTGTGTTGAACGTCTTCATTCTATTGGGGTTACATATGCACGTGTTAATGAAAGAAAACAACAACGTTCTACAACACTCCATCTACAGGAAAGATGATTGTGTTAAGCTGAAGAAGCAATCGATTGAAGAATCACACTTCCTGTAGACGGGACAATTACTAAGGACGACCTTTTGATTTAAAGCTTCCGTGACTGCAGGGACTGATATTCTTGGTTCTTTCGGTAAAGTCACGTAGAAGGGAAACAATAAAATAATACAAATATAAAACAATAAAATTCTCACGACGTTTCGACTGCAACACAAGCAGGTGTGAAAAAACACAGCAATACATTTTTATTTTATTTTATTGTTTCCCTTCTACGTGACGTTACCGAAAGAACCAAGAATAAGGACGACCTCTTTCACAGAAACGGCACGAAGAGGGGAGTAACACTACCGCTGGCAGCGGAGTTCAGCCACTGCGGGTGCTGTGGTTGTCTGCACACCCCCAGCATCGCGTGGCAAAGAGAGACACCCACAGCATTTTAGACGAAAAGCCTCGGGTATATTTTGGTCCACGTTTAACTCCCGCATGAAAGTAACAGATGTTTACGGCTGTGGTGATGATGGGACACTTGAATATATAGAAGTGCATGAACACGAGGCCCCGTACTGCGTCAGTAGTCGGTACATTTCATCATAATAATTATTATTATACAACAGAACTCCTCTTATCCGTAACAAAGTGGCAGGCGAACTTCGCCGATCCAAGCTGTGATTGTAAACCAAACCAAGACGTCCCCTGGCTGACACAGAGCGTCTGTGGCCCCACGGGTGACATTCCTCATTGCCGCACCGTCGCCAAGGACTGGGCTCACTTTCGCACCCCATATTTTCTGGAATGCTGCTACGCCGCCTTCGGACGCAGGGATCATTGACGCGAGGCACCGTCGCTGATGCAGTGGCTTATCCACGCAAATCCTCCAATTGTTTATTGAACTCTACGCTGCTTTCTTCGAATGAGAATGAATAAAAGAAAGTAACACGAAGACAAAATAAGGCGAGATGGATGTGGCGTGCCAAAGCAATTGCCAGAACACTGTTCTAGCCGGAGGCGAGCGCTGATGCTAGAACTCCCATTATCCGTGATGGAGTCGGGGTCGAACGTCACGTAACTCATCTGTAATCGAACCAGTAGCCACCAGGAACGATGCGCAGCCAGGACATCCCCAAAACGTCCAAAGTGTGTGGCTGGGGTCTCCCCGACTTACATATCCGACAAACCAAATGCACTTCACAATACTCTCAGGTTTTTTCGGTAAAGTCACGTAGGTAAAAATAAATAATAATAAAATTAATAATAAAAAGTAATAGAAATAATAATAGAAATAAAATAATAAATCACGACGTTTCGGAGGCAACACAAGTCTCCGTCATCAGGTGGGACCGTTACAGCTGAATTTATTGTAAATTTTACGTACTGTAAATTCAGCTGTGACGGTCCCACCTGATGACGGAGACTTGTGTTGCCTCCGAAACGTCGTGAATTATTATTTTATTTCTATAATTATTCCCATTATTTAATTATTTATTATTTCTTTTTTCCGAAAAAACCTAAGAGTGTGAATCCTTGCAGTCACGAAAGCTTCACATCTAGAACACTTCACAATAACCAAATACACTTCACAATAACCAAATACACTTCACAATAACCAAATACACTTCACAATAACCAAATACACTTCACAATAACCAAATGCACTTCACAATAACCAAATACACTTCACAATAACCAAATTCACTTCACAATAACCAAATGCACTTCACAATAACCAAATGCAACCGTCGAGGGCTCAGCAGCCAGGGGCTGAGCCGGCGGACCTCTGCAACGGAGCCCCGAGGCCAAGCAAAAGAGTTATGCTACATGACACCTCATGCCTATTACCGTCTCTTTGTGCCGCGCTCCGGCTGCGCGGTCACAGGCCATTGCCTCTCTGCATGGGGCTTCGCTGTACACGCCGCAAAACAGCAACGTGGCAAATTGCAGGAATGATTCTCTGACGTCCGCATCATTGCCAGACAATGCGATCCCCTCCCCCGCATCCCCATCCCCCCCCCCCTTTGCCCTGGTCTCAGCTCGGGCAGGCGCTGCACCCTTTTGAGAATGTATGGACATTGGGTGGCAGGCTGGCGCAGTGGTAACACTCGTTCCCCGCCGGGTGCCTTGCTGTGTAGAGTTTGTATTGTCCCACTCTGTTCTGCATGAGTTTCGGCTGGGTTTTCGCAGGTTCCTCCCAATAACTAAAACAACATCCAGTGGCAATGGTGTTGGCCAAAAATATCCAAATGCAAGACCCTCCTGTTAAAAAAGTACTTTGGCTTAATGAGCCTTTCAAAAATAACTACGGAATTATTATCGTAATTGTTATTGTTATTGGCATCAATCGGGAAATAGTAAGGATGGCAGGCCAGTTGTAGGGTGGTAAAGGTGCAACTCTGCAATAGCCGGTGGCTCTTGTTTTGCTGATCTTTTTTTTGTTGATTTTGGTGGGAGGGGTCTGCAGGCGTTAGGATTATATTTTGCAGGTCTGCATTGCGTGAACAATGTCAGGCTTTTGAGTTGTACGTTGGATCCAAAAAGTGTTAACTGCGTTCGCAAAGATCACGTTGCAATTGTAAATTGAACTATTTATTGAAAGAAGACCTTCAAAACGTAATTATGCTCAGTTGAACAAATGTTCTTTAACCGGTACTTTAACAAGTGCTGAATTTGTATGCAGTTGCAGAACAAAATAACCACTCTCGTGTAATGCATTTAAGGCATATCAATGCCCGTGAGGGTAAAGGGATGATAACCACTTAGACATAAAATAATAAAAAGAAAACACGTTAAAGATTTAAAAACAAAATCTTTTATATACGTATATGATTCTGCTATTTATTATATTATAGCATTTCTCGTAGGCACTTTTTTGCAATTTAGATAAATTCTGGCACCAGTAAAACTTCGAAAGTACATTTAACAATAGCGGCCATACGAAACATTCTCCCAGTTTGCCGCGGGAAGGAGGAACGCTGCCTCGACGGCACTAACAAGTCGCTGGCCATTTCACATCGCGGGCACTGTGAGCCTTTTTAAAATGCATTCCGACAAATTGATGGGCTGAGTGCGTTCCACGGTGCGAGGCCAACAAAGGGAATAAAACAGTATTAGTCATGCAGGCCACTGCCTAATGAGGCAAAAAAGCCGGTTTTTGGATTTGGCGAGTGTGATTTTTCTCCCCGGTTTTGTCTCTGATTTGTCACAGTCTCTGGGTGGCTCAGCCCTGGCCGGACCCGGCTGGGTGGTCAGAGACCCTCCGCTAGGCGTTTTTGCATTTAGTGTCCACAATTATTAACTCGTTACACGAAATGGGAATCAGAGTTGATGCAATCGTGGATGTGTTTTTATTTATCTCTTGGGAATAATGGTCAATCAGGGCAGAGTATTTGCTGGGCACTACCGCAGCATGGTTGGTATGGGCCCTCATTGCAAGGAACGAGATGGGGCCTCTGCGTAGGACAGTGCTTGAGCCCCCTCTGGTCTCTGAGCCCTCTCGTGCAATTGCAGTGCCTGCATGTTGGGCAACTAAGTCAGCAAGTAAAACTTAGCATTTAGTGCCGTGGTTCTTAACTCGGGGTGCACGCACCCCCTGGGAGTGTGAGATGCCCTCTCTGGGGGAGCGAGACATGCCAGACAGATGTGTTTAGAAAGTAAATAACTAAAAACACCAATTAAGCACGGGCGCGTAAGTACAACTACTTTGTTTAATCAAACTTGTGTGTTTATTAACATTTTCTTGGTTCTTTCGGTAAAGTCACGTAGAAGGGAAGTAATAAAATAATATTATATTATTATATTCATTTATTTTATATTATTTTATTATGTTTTATTTTTATTCTTTTATTATTTCCCTTCTACGTGACTTTACCGAAAGAACCAAGAAGATGAATACCTGCAGTCACGAAAGCTTTAAATCGAAATTTATTAACATTGTAATT